GTCTTTTTTTTTAAGGAAATTGCATATAAGTCTAGACATGAAAAACAGGAAAGGGTTACCTGAGTAAAGAATTAGAAGCAGAGCAGTGGAAGGGAGGAAACAACATTGTCGGGGCCCAGAAGTGGGGCACAAAGGAGCTCGGGGGGCATGAAGAAGTCTGATGAATCTGCACTAGAGACAGCAGGGGACAGGAGAGCGGGTAGGATAGTGAATTAGACTTGGAGAGATAGGAAGGGCTAGATCATACATGGCCTTGCAGCTGTCACCTGCTCTGCAGAGGAATCAGTGACCTACCTGTGCTGTGCGCCCTTAGCCTAATGGCTTGTCTCTGCTTCCTTGCTCAGCCTGTAAGCCTTCCTCATGCTTCCCCTATATTTCTAGTCAGGACTACCACTACTCCTTAAGACTCAGTTCCATATTATTAAATCTATTGCTTAGGGCTTGTCTTTGACTCTCATTGCCCAAGTATTTTGCTGGGGGGTTAAGGGGAGGAGAGCACACCTGGGGGACTCAGATATCTTAAATCATTAGCCTAATCTACAACTCTCTTTTTACATGGAATTCAGGAAAAGCTCAACACTATGACATGCTTCAGTATATCTCTATACAGTTATATATAGCTCATGAAATATTTGTCAAGTGGAAGGAATCAGACGTTGGATGAAGAATTATTTACCACTTTCCCTAAAAGAGAGTGTCCTTTCAGTCTCATGTCGTCCAACATAGAAATTGCACTTTGTTGTTTTGTTTGTTTTTAATTTTTTATTTAAATTCTTTATTGTTTAAAGTATTACATAACTCTCCTTTTTTCCCCCATTGATCTCTCCCCGGCTGCCCCCACTGCCCAGCTAGTGCTCCCCCACCCCCCGTCTGTGTCCATTGGTTTGGCTCATCTGCATGCACACAAGTCCTTTGGTTGATCTCTTACCCTCTCACTCCCCCCCACCCCACCTTCCCTTATAGGTTGGACAGTCTATTCCATGCTTCTGCTAAGGGAAATAAGCCAGTCAGAGAAAGATAAATATCACATGATCTCACTCATTTGTGGAGTGTAATGAACAACATAAACTGAGGAACCAAAATAGAACCAGAGTTGTAGGAATTGCACTTTGAATGTGGCAGAAACTTGTGTGCTTCTCTTTATCACAACCATTTACTGCATTGATTTTCATAATACTTCCTGCAAAGAAAAAGCAGAGTCATGCCTTTTGTGCCCGATAATTGCTGGGTACAGTGCCTCTCACATAGTAGGTGTTTTATGACAGCAACACTGAAAACTCCTCTCAGCAGAATACATCCTTAGGAAGGACAGCTTTTTGCTGAACAAATTATAGACGCTGCAGTTAGTGGTGGATCAGCTCTGTGCTCTACGTATTGCCCAGAGAGGATTAGGCTATAAAAGAGGATCGGAGAGAGTGCCGCCGGTTGTGGAAGTCTATAGCAGTGTTATAGATGCATATTTGCCATAATGTGGCTATAAAGACAAATCATGCAGCCAGTCGTAAAAAAGATAACACAGGGGGCATAAAATCATAACACCGCCATATATCCAGCACTTAGCATGTGTCAGATACTGTGCTAAGACGTAGCTCCAAGCTTCACAACAGCTATTATCATCTCTTACAGGCTAGAGAAGAAAGACACAGGTGGGCAACATTAGCCCACAACTACCCAGGTTATAAATGCTGGGGAAACTTCAAACCAGGTCTGTCTACTTAAAGCTCTAAACTTAGGCTCTGACAAGGACACTCCATTTTCCAAATGAGTTTAGGCCGTAGAGGTCAGGCCTGATCAAAACACAGCAAAACAAAGATCTGTCACACGCCACTCAAGGGCCGACATAAGTGACCTGCTCCATGAGTTATCCAAAGAGAGACAGTACCACAAGTAGCGGAGCTCTTAAACAGTCTAGCGAGTAGAGGATCTGTTGCCATGAAAGGCACTTAATTCTTTCCTCAAAACTTCAGTCAAGTGGCCTGAAACGCTACGAGTGTCCTGTTCACAATACAGTGCTTGGTTCTGCTCTGTTTATCTATCAGCCTGACCTTTGAGTAAATGTCAAAGTGAATTTATTTATTTTTTTCCAATGTGCATGAGACATATTTGAGGAGCAGGGTCAGCTCATAGGAATGATGCTTGAGTCTTCTTAAAACCTAAGGTGTACTGACTTTGTGACTTCATTACAGTCATGTGTCACGTAAAGATGGGATGTGTTCTGAAAAATGCCTTATTAGGTGATTTCACTGTTGCCCGAATGCTTAGGGGCCATGATGAACAAAATGACACGAGATTAAATTAAGCAAAAAAGAGAAAATGATGCAATCAAGAGACATGAGATGTACGAGGCTGCTGCTGGCTTAACATGGCATACTATGTTACAGCAAACATTTTTTTTTTATAAGTAGAAAGAGTATACTCTAAAATAACAATGAAAAGTATAGTAAGTACATAAACTACTACCATAGTCATTTATTATCATCATCAAGTGTTATGTGCTGTACATAATTGTATGTGCTATAGTTTTATACCACTAGCAGCACAGTAGGTTTGTTTACACCAGCATCAGCACAAACATGTGAGTAATGTGTAGTGTTATGACTTTAAGGTGGCTACGATGTTACTAGGTAATAGGAGTTTTCCAGCGCCATTATAACTTATGGAACCTCCGCCATATACAGTCCATTGTTGTCCAAGATGTTATGTGGTGCATGACTGCATTTCTTTTAAGTCAGGATCTCATGAGACACTTGCTATGGACAAGGCTGAGGATACACTGATGAACAAGAAATACTGGCTCCCATAAATGCTCCTCAACCCCCTCTTAAAATATTTGGGCTTAGCTCACTGTGCCTCTGCATAGCCCCACAACTGATGGTTCCCAAATTAGTAGACAGGGAGGTAAAAGGAGTTTATTCTGTACTACTTTCTCACACTGATTTAGGAAAGCCTGATTTATTGGCCTTAGAAAGTGATAAAAACACATTTCTTATACACTCTGGTTAGTTGAATGTAATTTAATAATTTGCATTTTTGATGTGTGCCCTTTGCTGATTTAAAAACAACCAAACTCTGAATTTATCATTTTGATTCAGGAATTGACTGGCTTTCATATATAGTGTAGTTACTGACCCACTGTGAGCAAACCATTCTTTGTGAAGTGTTTTCCCAGAAATGGAGATGCTTTTATACAAATCGCTCCCTCTTCTGGTGCTGTCTCTTGTTAGCAGCAGCATGCATTTTGTGTAAAAGCTGGCAGGGGTTAGGATGCAGATCAGGGTCCTGGACCTCAGCACCGCTGACTGGCATGGGCAGGGATGAAATCTGCAACTTCTGCCTCATTAGCAACCGGTCTCCTACTGAGTTAACCAGCCTTAGGCAATTGGCGAACACTGAAGGTTAATTCTTTCTGCCCATAGGTAAAGTTACAGCTCAATGAACTAAGCCCTTAAAATGTTATAGCTCCATCCAGGACATTTTAAGTGGGGGAAAAAATGGCTGGTAGTACAAAAAGGTGAAATGAATTGCAAACAAGTCTAAAACAGACTTGCAATTTTTTCCAAGAGTTGTACAAAATATTCTGTGACTTTTATAGAGGGTATGACTCAAAACATGTTTCAACCATCTGATTGCCAGAAACTATTAAAATAAATAGTACAAATAGGGCAATTAAATATAGACACCAACAGTGTCAAACCACATGAGAAAAGAAATGAAGCAGCTTTGTTTTTCTTGTAAAAACACCCAGGTGAATTTATTTGGAATTAGAATAAAGGACTGCTTTAAAAAGCTAGATAGGGAGGAAGACTGAAGAGAATAAAAACAATGATGATAATTCCCCCCTTGAGGGAGTCCTTTTCTGAACTAATATATTCGTATGAGGCCTTGCTCCTGCTGAATTATACACAGACCAGTTAGTAAAGCCTCCAGGGACAGAACCAAGGGCTATTGTCTCTGTAGTTTAAGCCTAATGTCATAGATTCATTTTACACTTCCTAGGCGTCCTGCGATCCCAGGTCACTGCTCATCCTCCACAGACACCTGGCTTTCCTCTCCTGGCTCCTGTGTCTTGCAGACACTGCGTGTGAGAGCTCAGGGAGGGCTCCCCAGTAAGCATCCCCGTGTGTGAAATAGTGTGACACCATGGAACCGAACTGAGCCCCATTCTCTGGCAATGTGGACCCTGGGAATGAAAAATGAATGTCAAAGTGTGCCTGTCTGCACATAAAGAGAAAATTGAAAACTCGTTTTGGGTACTGCTAGCCTAAGGCCAGGCCAGGAGGCCCTTCAACAGTTACTTAGGATGAGGGTGATGGCAAGAATTTGGAACTTCAGTATGAACATGTTACTGTGTCTATTCATTCCTCCACTTAGCTCCCTGGCGGGAGGCAGAGGACCAAAGAAAGCAATTCGAAAATAGCTCAGGTGTATTGAGAGCGTACCATGTGCTAAATGTCAGGTACTTGGAAAACTGCATGTAATTTTTGAAATAGGTAGTTGTAAACGTTAAGGAAGACCATCCAGGAAGGACAGAGTCAGGATCCAACTGATGAAGCTGGTCACTTGCCTTGGCTTTGCTCATGGGGTTGCCCTCACTATAATGCTCATTGAAACTGCAATTCAAGTAGCAAGCGCGGTTCACAACCGGTTAACGTGTAATAACAGAAACATGGGACTTGCATAACAAAAGGAAGAAAACTCATTTCTAGCAATAGTGTGACAGAAAAGAATGTAGAGCCCATAATAGATCAAATTATTGTGACACTGTTTTACCTTCCCTGATGTCTTCTGAGGTGTACATGTAAAGTTATGTAGAAATTCTAGAATTATGGTGCTGAGAAAGGGTCCTCAGAGATCTTCTAGATCTCTAGAATAATATGTTAGGGCCATACAACAATATTGCAAAGGGTTTATACCCTCATCATAAAATCAGACCCAATGGATATTGTTGAAAAGTACATTCTCTCCTGTAACATTAAACCTTTATCTAATTTAATTTTCAGAACTTCTTTCAAATAGTTAGCAACCTTCTAGATGAAGAGAACAAAGAGAAATGGGAAGATGCACAGCAGGTAAGGTCGGAGTTATTTCATGATGTAAAGTGAAGTTGGTTAAATAAAGTTTAAAAATATGTGAAGAAATTAATGGCTTGCCATTTCAAGAACATAAGAGGGGACTTTTAGAAGTCATTGTGGATTATATTATACTAATTTTACAGAAAACAAGTTATCTCTCTTATCATAACAATCAATGGAATGAATAAACCTCCTTAACATGAGAAAACTGAGCAGATTTAACTAATTTATAACTTAATACATAATAACTATATGCCTTGTCAGTCGGTTTCTTTCCTGTCTTCAGACTGGAAAAACAGCAAATGTAAAAGCACATATTGCAAATGGAACAGTGGGGTATGAAGGAATAAACCATTTGCATTTACCACCACACTATAAATAATCTGGATCATACATGCAGACTTGCACTTTGATCCAAAGCCAAAAGTTGTAAATATGAGTTCTCATTTTAAATGTTTAAATGGAAAATTCTGCTCCCCCTCCCCTCTTTCTGCTGTGCATGATCAGTGTAGCAAGTGGCCTTTTTGGTTTAGTTATTGTTTTAAAATGCTTTGCACTGCCACTGGTGCAATATTATCTGACATATGGTCAATAAGGTTTTTTCTATATTGCAGAAAAAGTAGGTTAGAGGTTAAGAAGAGGAGAATATTTTTTACAATCCTGTAAAAATGTAATTTAACTGAATGTTAAACTTTGTTTTCTACTTGACCCTTATTAAAAACTCCAAGGGAAAAATGCATTCTTGAAAATAAGAATATTTTCTGAGGTTCAGATGAGCCATCTACCCCTTCTTCCTTGTAAATCACATCTGGGTCCCGAGGAGTAGGGCATGACCTTTATTCCTATTATGATAGGAGCTCTAAAAACAATCCAGTGTGGGTCTACCTTATTATCGGGTGCCAATTCGGTGCTTCTGGCCATAGCAAGGGAAAAAGAAAGTACCCCTTGGTTTAAGACCCTGAATCCTATTCTACTAGTTTGATTATATATTTGTCCTTGGCATTTTTTTTCAAGAGGAAAGCCCCATCTACTCACTGCAAGTAAAAGGTCTTTCCTTAGTAAACTGCCACAGAAGCTAAGCACATCTTTCTAGAATCCTGGAGACTATTAATTATGAGTATATTTAGAACAAATGTGTAGCATGCTACAATTTGCAATTTACCCGATGCTGGTATTTATTGTGAGGTCCCCACGTGAGTGAATAATGAATGGTGGCAGAACTTCTCAGCCATGGAAAATTCTGAAGCCATAATCCGTCTATTTACCTGTGATTTTAAGTTAACTATAGTCATATCTTTTACTTATTTTTCAGGAGTGATGACCCTTAATGCTTTTTAAAAATAACCATTTTAAATTAAAAACAACTGTTTTTTTGTAGCTTTTACAAAGAAGTATTTTCATAAATGCAGCCATATGGTAGATGAATCTCCAAGTTTGTGGCCCAAAGGGTGAACTCTTCAGAAATAAGCCCGATTTAAAATCCACCACATAGTCCCTAGTCCTGAGTGGGCCCCCTTATCTTATTTTAGCGTAATTGCCTCAGCAAAATAAAATATAACACGTGGCTGTATAGGCATTTGGAAAATATGACACTTTTGAGCAACAACAACAAAAACCAGAATCATTTCAGAACGTGTTTGCTGCACATCAGCCATAGTTAGGAAGGATGAAACTATATTTAGTTTCAGCATTCTACTCAAAATGTAGTATACTAAAGTAGAAAAAAAAAGACTACTCTTTGTATTACACGGTTTTATACGCCATCACTGTGATTTGAACAGACAAGTCCATTTCAGTCCAGACAAGCCATTTTAATTTCAGGCGTGATATTACGTTCTGTGTTTTCATTATACTGAAAATTCCCTTATCTACAGCAGGAGTGGGCAAACTTCAACCAGGGAGCTAAATCCAGCCTCACACGTGTTTTGTAATTAAACTGGGAATATAAGTACATTCATTCATTTACATAATATCTATGGCTACTTCTGTGAGACAAGGACAGAGTTAAGTTGTTTTTACAGAGACCCCCGGCCCACAAAACCGAAAATGTTCCCTGTCTGGCCCTTTACATAAAAAGGTTACCAACCTCTGCTCTACTTTGACTACTGCTGGGGAAATAGAATTAAAAACAAAATCTTCTGTCAAGCTAGCAAACCTCTCCGCAAAGGTAGAAGAGAAAGAAAAGAGTTTTATCTTTTTATTGAATAAGCACTAAACTGCACCAGAATGTGATTGGTCACAGGCAATCTGCTAAGAAAATGCAAGGACAAAAAGACATCTCACCCCTTTGAATAGCCCAGCAAATACAACATATTATACACGTGTCCTCAAGATTAACAGTAACTAGTCCTCAAGTAAGAGAACTTGATAGCACAATTTGTCACACATAGTTCTTCTGAAATTCACTTGGTAATTGAGGTGACCACGTGTTAGTTAATTGGCTTTATCCAAAGTAAAAACATGAAAAGTCTTACATTTTAATGACTGAAGGTAGTTTTGCACCTTAGAGCTGGTGCTTGCTGAAGTTCGGTCCGACCCTCCCACAGAAACTGAGAAGTGGGGGCACAGTCTCCCTTTTTACTTTTCAAAAAAAGACACGCCTGGGTCTTTAAGTTGATAAGAAGCTATTTCACTTTTTAAAAGTCTAACCAATATTTCAAGGAGACAGAGCAAGAACTCAACAAGGACTCGCTTTCTAAAGTAAATGCTCTAAGAAAAGAGAAGAAGTGGGGAGCGGGTTTGGGGAAGGGTGTCTCTTATTTTCAACAGAGAAAAGTAAGCCTCTTAGTTATGTTTTTGATTGATTTCAGAGAGGGAGAGAGAGAGATGGAAACATCAGTGATGAGAGAGAGTCATTGATTGGCTGCTTCCTGCATGCCCCACACAGGTTCAAGTCAGGAACCTGGGTATGTGTCCTGACTGGGAATCGAACCATGACCTCCTGGTTCATAGGTTGATGTTCAACCATTGAGCCACACCAGCAGGGCAAAGCCTCTTAGTTTAAATTTGTATCTGCCCTTACACTACACATACTCATATACACGTACACCTACACAAAAACAGAAGGAAAAATGCAGTAGTAGCTGGAAGCTTGGAGTGGATGGACATTTTGTGCACGTTTTTAGAATGGGGATGATGACATTTCAAAATTCATATTTCATGATTGGAAATGTAGGTAAGAAATAGAATTTCTCCCTAAATATCCCTGAATGTAAAAACAAAACAACTATCTATGCCAAACGTTTGTAAATGTGATATCCATTTTTGACATCTTCAAGATATGTAAGTAAATGCATAACCTCAATGGCGGATTTTTAGACCAGCGCAGCCACAGGTTCCTGTAACATACATGCACTGTGCCTGCTACCCTCAGGGACCAAGTCTCCTTGCTCCTCGAGCCCTCCGGCTCTTCCTGTATGCTTTCCTGCTGGTCAGCATGGCTTCCCCCTCTGCACTCGCCTTTGCAAATACAAAGCCACTGAAACTCTTTAATCCACTTCATTTTTCTCGTGGCTAGAAGCTGCAGTGGTGCCAAATGGCTAAGAGAAATGCATTTAACTCCCAAGGACTCTTTTGTTCTAATATGGTTATATCATAAAGGCTGGCCCAAGAAGCATTAGGGGTTATGCTTGCTAAATTCATGTCACCTTTTAAATGGCTTTCATGTTCCACACACTGTGAGCTCTTGGCAGAATTAGGTCGTCTTTAAGAAAGCACTCATCTGTTTGTAGTGTGTGAGGCGGCATCATTTGAGGTTTGTTCTGTATAAGTACATGTGAAACACCTACTCTAGAGCTGTTATTATGGTTGTAAAATTGTCCCTAAAGTTACTAATACAGCGGGTATTATAATTATTTGAAATAAATATCGCTTCCAAGATATTAGTTATTATATGGTAGACTTAATAGTTTGTAAATACCTTTATGGGGACAATAATAGTTGTTTTTCTTCTAGTGTCCATCATATAGATGCTAATAGATAAAATGTAAAAAGCTCCCAAATTTCAGTGTTTGTTCTATGTTGTCTTTCAGTGAAGGAAGGAGCTCACCAAAAGTAAAGACACTCTATTTCTAAGTAGACCATCTGTTAGATATTTTGAGTTTCTATACATTTATAAAGGATTAATCACTGCATCCTATCACTTCCAAAGTTCTTGCTGCGTGACACCTGCTGTCGTTCTCAGCTATTAGCTAAAAAATACAATTGTTGCCAGTTGTAGAAATGTCTTTAAATAAATCAGAACTTGTTTGTGACCTCATTATGTAGTTGGTATTGTTTTTTAATTCCAGTTATCTAGTCCATTGCATAGACTTTTTATTTCATTCTAATCTTTTCTTATTTTTGTAGATTTACCCAGGCTCAATAGAGTTGATGCAGGTGATTGAAGACTTTATACACATTGTTGGAATGGGGATGATGGACTTTCAGAATTCATACTTAATGACTGGAAATGTAGGTAAGAAATAGGATTTTTTTTTCCAAAATCTTACTGAAATTAAAAAAAAAATTGCAAGTATCTGCGCCATCCATTTCTAAGTGTAATTAATTGTCCATTGTTCCTAACTTTAAGTATCTCAGAGTAATATATTATGGACTCCTGGTGTCTGATTTTTAAATGATCTACCCGCCCCCCCCACACACACACACATTTGCATGCATCTGCATTCATTTGTAGGAATGCATAAAGACCTACTGGTGTTTATCTGCACATGTATATTTAAAGGAGAATATGTGCTTCTTTTTCCATTGCCAAATGCTCATTGCTCTTCAATCTAACGTTGAAAGCATATAATATACACTTGAGTGTGTTTCTTAAGAAAATGAGTCTTTATAATTCTCCATATGAGGATGCGGAGTTCCTCTCCTGCTAGTGGTCCCGAGGAAGTGCTGGATCTGCATGGGTTGTAGAGGCTTCAGAATACCTTTAAGGGTCATGATCATGGTGCTATTGCTGCAGTTACTTTTTTCCTGAGTGGCTCCCGAGACATACTGGATCTCTCAGATGCCTCTGTAGTGGGTTCTGTAATGCTTGAGCACATACATTGAAAACACATTTCCTCCTTATTTGCCTTAACATTGTCCCTTATAGAGGAAAGTTACATAGCAAAACCTACACACACGTTGAGGCTGCCACAGTTTCATTGAGCCAACAATAATTAACCAAATGGCACATTTCTCTTTGTAGTTGTCAGGTCTTAAATGCATTGAATTGATACCGGTTTATAGTTTTCTCATTTCTTAAAGCTTCCTCTCGTGATGTTACTGTAATTCAGGAAGATTTTCTTTTATCTACATGCTATGGTACAGAGAGTAATGTGTTATATAAACATCTTCACATTCTTATTCACTGGATGTTTAAGCATTAGTTTCTGGTTCAAGAAGAGACCTCACTTAGTGGGGGGTTCAGCTAAGTATAGAGCATACTTTTTCTATGATTAAGAATTTTGATGGTTCCCTTTATATTTATTTGATTTCTTCTGAAGGTCCTTTAGTCCCTCGGATACTCATTTGATCCTAAGATATCTTTTACAAGGGTGACTTGACCTCAACTCTCAATGGGTAATAGCTAACTACCAGTAATATTCCCCAGTTGAGGAAAGCCTATACAATGGAGTCTGAAGACATTTTCTTCCCCATATAGCATCTTCATGCAGCATAAAGTTTTACCAGTCAAATTTATATCATAATTCACCTTCAGAGTCAGTTTGAAGGCCCAGATTTTCCCCAGAGAGGGTGTTCAGAAGCTTGTGCTGGTTCAGGAATGGAATGAGCTAATCCTTGCTAGCGCCAATGACAAGAAAAAGGACCAAAGAATGGTATCTTTGTTGATGAGTTCAGAAACCCAAGCAAATCCAAATTATATGTCCATCCCAAAAGTAGGTAAGCAAGAGAAGAAAGGTACTCTATAGGTAAGGGGTAGCATGTTGAACTATGATTTGGGGGGCACCTGGGAGGAACCGGGGAGTTTCTAGGGATGCTGGTCATTCAAGTTGGGACCACTCTCCTAAGGGCCTTATTTCTGACTTCTTTTCTGGAGAAAGAACATGAAGACCGCTCTGCCAGATGGGATAATTCTCAAAGTAATGTACCAGAGAAACTGAAAAGAAACAAATAGCTATTGTGGGTTTTTTTCTCTTTGTAAGGGTTAATATCAATTCTGAAAGGCATTGTTAATTAAAAGTATTATCAGAGTAATGCATAGCATTTGTTCAAAATGTATTTAGAGAAAACTCTAAAAGACAAAGCCAATTCTAGAGTCTAGAAAACTTAATTTGAATCTTGAAGCAGGCTCCTTGAATAACATCATATCAAATTCTCCATAGTACCAGCATGATTTATATAAAATTCCATAAATTTCAAACATCATTTCCTCTTTACCTTTCTCTGGACTTCCCAAAATTATATTTTTGAAAAATGTGTGTATTATTATTTTTTGCATTTTGATTAGGTTCTGTAGGTTTGCCTACTTTCTTTATCATCACTATACTTTTTAAAAAGAAATTGTCGATTTTTTTAGAGAGAAAGGAAGGGAGAAGGAGAGAGTAAGAAACATTGATATGAGAGGGAACATTGATGAGCTACCTCTTGAATGCCCCTTATGGAGGATGGAACCCGCAACTCAGGCATGTGCCCTGACTGGTAATGGAATCAGCTACCTTTGGTGAACCAATTGAATCACCCAACCAATTGAATCACACTGGCCAGGGCTATCATCACTAAACTTTAAGAAATATGCTAAGCAGCCCGGCCAGTGTTGCTCGGTGGTTACCAGTTCTCTAGATACTTCTTAGACCAGTAAAGTTACACATAAAATTAAGGATCATAATTCACTAGTATTGAATTGGATAATATGAATAATTGCTATTAATATTCTTTTAAAAATATATTTTATTGACTTTTTACAGAGAGGAAGGGAGAGGGATAGAGAGTTAGAAACACTGATGAGAGAGAAACATTGATCAGCTGCCTCCTGCACACCCTCCACTGGGTATGTGCCCGCAACCAAGGTACATGCCCTTGACCGGAATCAAACCCGGGACCCTTCAGTCTGCAGGCCGGCACTCCATCCACTGAGCCACACCGGTTAGGGGACTATTAATATTCTTTATGTTATCCAATTTGGTACTAATATATAATTTTGTAATTATACTGTTTATCTGACATTTCCAAGATATTTGGATAAGGACACACTTAGAGACTTTTTTACATTAGAAATTGTAAAACGTGAGTTGGTACTGATTTATCTTATATCCAAAGTCCAAATATTAATTATCTGGCATCAAGCTCATTAAACTGAAAACACACATGCTTGCATGCACACATACACACAGCATGTGTGATAAACAGAGACTAGGTAATTGAGAATGGTTCATTATTCCTGATGGCATTTCTTCACAGTGTGTTGGATTAAGACTACTTAAAGAGCTTCAAGAGATCATCATGTGTTTTCAAGAGATTACAATTTTTTTTATAAAGCCTATATGCATAGCCACCTCATTTCTCTGGAAGACAGATAATAGGTACCTGGAAAAGAGACAAAGTTGAACAGCCAAAAATAGATGCCATAAAGACCATAAATTCATTAAGAGAGTCAGAACCTTGCTGATTCCCCAACTTTAAATATTTTCAGTGTTTTTGTTTTCTGGTTCCTGGTTTAGAAAGAAGGAGTCAGAAGCAGACACAGCGCTGTTAGAAGCTCATGTGCAGCAAATAAAATAGATGAAATGCTGAAACAATAAGGACCATGAGGTATTGAAAGAATGCACCAGAGTACGGAGTCCACGCTGTGGGAACAAACTACTCCTCACTCCTCTGACTTGAGGACAGTATATCTAAGACAAAAGGCAATCATTTATTTATTTGTTTTTAAATCCTCACCGAGAATATGTTTTTATTGATTTTAGAGAAAAGGGGTGGAGGGGGGGAACATGGATGTGAGAGAGAAACATCAATTGGTTTTTCCAGTATAGGCTATTCCTGGGCTGGAACCCACAACCAAGGTATGTGCCCTGACCAGGAATCAAACCAGCAACGTTTTGGTGTATGGGACAACCCTCCAACCAAATTAGCCAATCAGCCAGGGCCAAAGGACAATAATTTAGGTCTAAAGACATGGCCTTTATTCATCAAGATGATAGTTTCTTTGATCTAAATAATATGGCAGGAAAATAAGTGACATATTTTGGAAAGACATCTTCAAAAATAGTTCAAATGGAAAGTTTTGAAGCTTTTTAAATTAAAAAGTGTCCCTACCTGTCCCAGCTTTTGATAGATAAAAATACTCTAATTTGCTAACAATCTGAACAGTTTGGTATATATGCATGCATGTTCATTTTTGGAGGGAGCAGACCCATAGCTTTGATCAATTTTCAAAAGACTTATGATCTCAAAATGTTTGACACAAGGTTTGGACGAAATACTTTTATGAACAAATTTATTAAACAGCTAATGCATTTGTAAGATAATTTATCTTCAATGAAATACTTATTTTTCATATTCATATATGAATGTGAAATTCAAAATAGACACATAATGATTATAATAAATGAAAGTTAATGAGCATTTACTAAAGACTAATCACTTCACTAATAGCTACTATAATTACTGATTGAATGAATTAATGAATGAATATGAAAACTGATATGCTACAGAGAGATTTCAACTTTCAATATGCCTCAGGTTATTATAAAATTGTATTCTAAATGTTCTAAATATTCTGTATAAGTGATTTTTATTTCAGTAAAAAATGTGAATTTTTTAAAAACACTTTTATTATCAAGTAAGTCAGGAAGACCAAATCTTAATATTATTTAAAATTAGTTGTCTTCACTGAAAATATTCTTTAAAGATTTGTTTAAACTTGCTTTCTATACTTTCTCTCCAAACATTTTCTCTTCAGTCTCTTGCAGTTTAGCATTTCCCTCATCACTTTCCTGAAACTCCTCTCTGAAAAGCCTTCTGGAAACTCCCCACTCACAAATTAAACCTCCCGTATTTCAACCATCATGTCCTCTGTACCTTGCTGACCACACTCTTTTGAAATTGTACCTTTCACTATCATTTCTATATCTATTATAGTATAAAATGTAATTAAAGGATAAAAGTTAGATTTTTTTTAGATACAGAGAGGATGAAGGACTGAATGGAAAAAAGTAAATAATTTGACGCCCAGATGTTTTCACTTCCAAAGCTAGACTAGAATGTGTGAGATCTCCCATGACCAATCATAGGGCCCACTCATGCATTTCCATTGTTCTGAAGATTTGTCTAAGGCTGCAGCAGAGTGTTTTATAGTTTTTTTTTCATTACGCTTTTAGTCCATCTATTTTGCATAAAAACTCCATGTAGCAATTTATATTTGATTTATTTATAAGGAAGAATCTTCTATTTTTTAGAAATTGTTTTAATTTTGAACTTCGAACTACTACTAGAATTGTACTCATCAAACTGAATTCA